GTATAACGTAGAGGTAGAAATCTTAGAAATTGTAAATAATGCTACACAAAACCACACGAACAATTATTATTATGTACTTTATATTTCGTTATTTGTTTTTTAGCTCAAAAAGTATTGTGAGGCTATCATAGCTATCAAAATTTAATGTATAGGTACCTACGTCAAAATACATTCTATTTTCACAAAAATTATGTTTTTAATTAATTTATCTAAATAAATTACTCAAGGTTACATAATTAGTTATCTATAAGATAATTATTTTTTTATATTGTTTAGTTATATGATAAAAGATTGATAAATAAATTATCTACCTACCTATATAATATTATAATATTTATCTCAACGCTCTGTATTAGTAATAATAACTAACAAATCTAATAGAAAAGCGCATATTATAATATCTCCGGACAATACAATGCATTTGAATTTGAGTCACGTGTTAAATTTACTACAAGGAGTTAATTTTTTATATTCTGTTTAATTTCTTTATACCAATAATCAGAATAAATTTAAGTCGTAAACCATGCAGTACAATATGTCTGCGGGATGGTGTAACTCAAAAACAAATAGGTAGATATAGGTAACTGTAGATAAGTACCTACTTGGCATTTTCACCATATACGTTTATGTTAGCCTCATCTGTGCACAAGTAACAATTTTCAAATATTTTAAAACTTTTTGAGCTATTTATAGACATTTTAAGTAATCGGTTTTTTTCTTTAAGTGTCAATAATAAAAGAGTTCTCTACGAAATTACACCGGTTACAAAAAATAAACACGAAAGTATAAGCGTACAATTATAATATAATCACGGTTTTCACAGTCCACGTAATTAATTTTCCACTAGAGTATGACGTGCTTATTAATAAAAATCAATAATATAATATTATCAAAATATGAATACCGATTAAAATGGTATAATAACATACCAAAACGTTTATTTGTGTAAATCATAATAGGACTAATTGCAGTTCAACAATCTTATAATCTAGGAATAATTTTTTTTTAACTAGTGCGGCCAGATTAGGTGATACCCGATTGAGCAGGGCCCATTTATTTCGGATTGATGCCTATAATATTAAGTGCAACGAAATAAGCGTATATAGCTTTGTCCGTTTCCACATTGAGCGGAGCTTGGGTTTAGCCGCTTCAGTTACCGCGGTGCTATCCCATCACACCGGTGGATTACATGCTCCTGCGGCAAACTCACTTGCACTCCTGCAGCACGTGAGGTTTAGTTCGGCCGTTTTCAAACTCGGAAGTGTCTCGATCGAAACTCGAGCCGGGACGTACCCGATGTCGTCCGAAGTATACCGCACTGTGATGTTCGGCATTGAACTAGAACGGCGGATCCGCGAGATCGCGGCTTGACTGCCGCGCGTCCGCTCCGGCCGGGCCGAACATGCAGCGGCGACGAGGCGGGCGGCGTCTCGATCTTGACTCCGGTGGCGACGGGCGTCATTATTGCCGTGTTGACCAACGAAATTATATAACAATTATAGTTTATTTAATGTAGGAAACAAATAATTATTTAAAACCCGTCGTTATGTGTTTAACTCTCGTCCGTGACAGTCTCCTAGACATTTATAACAAAAAGCTGTTCTCAATTTTCTGTCCGCCGTCAGTGTATTACGTCATACAGTCGATCCATATGGTTTACGTTCTAGATTTGGCCGTTAATTTCAAGATCATAACCGTCGGTTCAGCGTTACTGCGAGCAGAGGAGAAAACCCGGACGTCGTTGGAATAGAAAACTCACCACAGCATACCAGGACGGCAGGACGTATCTATATAGTTATGATTGCACCATCATCGGAGCCGGCACCTTTTTGTGTGACTTCAAAGACGGACGCCCCCATGAAAACCTCCTTGGCTGAACCTGACCTTAGATCGTAGGATCGCCACCGCTTACCGATACGGCGGCTTGAATATTTCCGGCCGTCCCTTCAGTTGCGAATCCAGTCATCCCGGGTACGGAGGAGTGAAGTCTGTCCCTCCGGTGCCAGCAGGATTCCCGGAAAACCCTTCACGGTCTGTTGGTCGGAGGTCTGCCCGGAAGAGAACGAAAAGATTCGTTTAGAAATCCTCGGTGAACGTGGCACCCAGAATTTGCTTCCGTCAAAGCTTCGTAAACCTAGAATAATCTTCGTCAAGTTTTCTACCTTCTAGTTTCTACCCTATACTACCGGCACGCCAGTGTTACCAGTTTCCACCGTCAGCCGCCCGATAACCTGCAGTTTTTGGCTTACAATGATTGCGCCAGGCCGGTCGAAACGCACCGCCTAGCCTAGCTGTTGTATCCGTCGGACAAGTCGTCCGACACCCAGTGGGCGTCATTGGGTGGGGGGGGGCAACTAGGGTATTTGCCACAATCTAGTATTTACATCAACCTTAAGTCGGCACATTTATCACAAGCCCCCCCCCCCCGTTAAACTCTATGTCACTATACTATATAAGAATCTGAGCGAAAAAAAATTTGAATCGGAAAAGCAGTGAAAAGTTGCCGCCCTAGTCTAATAAAAACTGAAATGACCGTTAAAGTTTGTAATTGTGCGTGTTCGTCCGTTCGACGTTTTTCGTCACCGACTTTGCTCCCGTTAGTGCTCGTCGTTTTCCACAAGCGTGTATATACTTCGTGCAGTGGCGTATTACGGGGGGAAGGTCATACCCCCCCCCCACGGAGACCAAATTATGTACACAATACAACATGTATATAATAATATCTGAATATAATATGTGTATACCGAATGTCTATTAAAAATTGCATGTCCCCCCCCCTTGAAAAAATCCTTGATACGCTACTGACTTCGTGTACCATGCCGCCGGGCCGTTTTGGCGTTTTCCGTCGAGTGTTTTGTCCGGCGCCGTTCGGACGTCCGTCACTCGCCCTGTTATGTTCGCGTACTCGCATTTTGTCAAGCCGTCGTTTTGCGGCAACGTCTAAACGACGCTTTGCGTTATTTTTTGTATAATGTTGTATTGTTTGGCAAGTCAAGCGAGCCGCTATTGCCTAGTGTGCCGCCCGAATCCGAGTGTACGCATGACGCGTCATGCCACATTAATTCAACGTTTCCGTTAAGTGGTAAGTCGTAGTTCTGACAAGTGTCAGACGACGCGTCGCGTACTTTGCACGCATACGCTTACACTTAGTCACCCGAGATGGTCGGTGTGTGGTGTGTGCCTATAACAATGGCCCTCGTATACCGCGGTTATAGTTTGTGTTCGACGTGGTCGTCTCTGCGGTGGACGTGAAGAACCAATCTCAGTTACCTACGTTTGCCTCAGGCCCTAACTATGCCATGGTCAAGTACGCTGTCGTCGCTGTTGCCAGCGTGGATCAGAAAGGACCAATACTTGTGCTCCATGCGTCTATCCGTGCAATTATTTTATAATTATAGTTTTGGACGTGGTAACACGCAACATTTTGTATTCACCGTGTTTTGTGTAAGTATTATACTATATACTGCAACCAGTGACGTATTTAGGCGGGGAGGTGAGTGAGCCCCAGGTGAGTCACATTTCTTTGTGGAATTTAGCAGTATTTTTTTGTAATCATAAAAATCTATTGTTCATTTCCATTCGTCAGTCAAGAAATTAAAATATTTTAAGAGCTTGGATAGCGACTGCACTGCGTTTTTTATTCTACATGATAGCATTATCAAAAGTTGACAGCGTAAAAGACGGATTTCCACCACATTCGTTCACGTGCATTTATTGACCGGGTCCGTTCGCTATGAACGGTCTCCCAAACGTTTCCAATCGGTTTAGACGGGTAAGATCAGTTAGGATTGGTAACGTATATTAGCCGGGATGACACTGCACGTTACCACCCATCGCGTGGAGTGTGGACTGGTATAGCGCGGTACAGTTGACCTTGATTGGTGTTGCGCGGAAAAGTTTGTATGCGCGGAGCGTCTTTTCCAGACAATATTGTCAGTCTCTGTATTTCCGGTCAAAGGAAAATTGGCTCAGCGTGTCTTATCCAAACGGCGTGTCGGTTTTAATTTTCGCGGTATATAATATATGCTCCACACTCCTCACTTCTCGCGCCGTGTAATCCCGGCTTTAGCTACCTCATAATATTTTCTTATAAATATTGTTATCATCCCATGTACACGAAATTGGTTGAAATAGGTATCGTGGTTAATCGTCTGGTAAGAACATATAAACACTTTGGTTTACCAAAAGCTTACCATGTATTGGTCCAATCACAGAATTTTAATGCATGTACACGCAAACGTGTATATAGTCGAAACCCACCCTAAAGGTGTTTCAGTGGTAGTGGTTATTGGGTACAACAATGCATCATCAGTTTCATTATTTTAGTGTTTAAGTACCTAAATATGAACTGTAAAATCGAATTATATAAAAGTATGTTTCATGCAGATGAAGAATGATTTTATACTTCCATAAACATTATCTAGTAAGTTAATTTTTTTGTTCCATAAATCTTAATAATGTATTAATTATTTTCCATTTTAATTATACTTTCTTTTTGGTATTTGGTTAGTAAATCGAATAAATATAATTAATGTACCAAACCAAGATATGTATTTTAATATTATTCTTATTCAGTTTCGTTGTGGTCTATGGTAAATGGTATATAGCTTGCTGTAGCTTGCTATAAACGCAATTTATTGTTTTGAAGTTTGCCGTTTGGTTAAATTGGTTGTTTAAATTTTAAAATCGTTTAATGCTATGAATAAAATACTGTATAAATATGACTGACAAAAGAATTAAACTTAGTGGTGCAACTTCTAGAAAACTTGCCTTAGAAAAGAAATTATAAAATGCCCTCGTTGTTTTTCAAGTTCCTAAATTAGAAAGTTATTTTATGACAATTAAAACTGAAGATTCGTCATGTATGCGTATTAATTGTCAAATGTAGCCATGTAGGGGTGGCAATAAAATTCTACCTAGGGCGTCAAAACTCTAAACACCTACGTCTCTCTGTATACAACGGTACTACCATTGATTTTTTTTATTGATTTAAATGCTTAATGCAATTTCGGACTGGCATAATTTTATTGGCCACGACCATTTCGGTCGGGTCACTCGATGGCTCGACTGAAACCGTTTGCATCGAGTCACCACCACCCGCTGTAGACGGTGAATCGATCTTTGCGTCGAGGCAGCGGAAGTACCAATCCGATATCGGATGCGCATCACCCGCAAAAGCAGCCGTCTGCATCGCCGGGTTCGATATTGAACTACGTGTACCGCCTGGACGCAGAAATCACTGCGACTTGTCAACGTGCACGATTTTTCAGGGCGGACAGCTCGTCGAAAACTCGGTACATTGCGATCGATTGGGTGGATTGCCGTGAGCTAATCTCGACGATGTATTCTGTACTGAAAGTGCAGCGATATTCGACATGATCATTGAATATAGATATCTGATACACGATTAATATTATATTATTTTATATATAAGGAAAGCGTGTTATACAATAATTTTAGAATGGTATAGTGAATTATTCGTATAGTGTTCGTTGTTAGAATACTACAGAAATAATATTGTTATACCTTTTGTGGTCTACTGTTGGTCTGCGACACAAAAATTAATAACAGAAATTTCAAACACTAAAATATTATATATTATAGTTGACCATGGCAACGAGATTGTAAAAACTTTAGTCTCGAAAATAAATATATTACTTTATTAATTATTAATAAATGTTAATTGTGAAAGTTCACTCTGCGAAAGTACTAAATGCCCCATTAATATATAGCCCATATAACTAATTCCATAAGTGTACAGTTAACAAATAATTTGGTAACCATTATATTTTGGTACCTAGTTGTTTAATATTGGCTAGCATGAATTTACTTTTAATAGAACTGTTATAAAAACATAAAAAGTAGTACATACAAACAATCGTAACTGCGGACAATAAATAATAAATATATATCTTAATACTGCAACAGTCGTAACTATTTATTGGTAACTATAATAACGCCGGGTGGGCACAACACTATTATGTTCTGTGGGTGGATCCGATATATATTATGGAAAACACAAGAATAATGAATCGTTGTTTAAAGTTTAGGCTTTAGAAAATAATTTCTTCAAACAACGTTTACTGAATTACGTAGATCAGATAACTAATAAAGGATTTAATGCTTCAATTAAAATATAAATCTAATATAAATATAATATTGGAGGGACAAAGTCCCTCCTACCCCCCTCAAATTGGGCCTATGTTTATTATTCTGGTATTATTTAGTGTGTTTATCATGAAGATAAACCTATTAAATATTGTATATTTGCACATGCATACTTCAGATACATTATGTTAGGACGTTAAGTACACGTGTGTAGTATTTGACTGTGCAGTGAGCATATAAGTAAGTATAGGGAACCTAAAACGCATGTATAATAATATAATTAGTGGTTGTGGTGGTTGTATAATAGTAATATATATATAGTATTACACGATTTTGTAAGTTACAGACTACAATAATGCATAAGTCAGTATTATTATAATGTTGCTCAATCAATATTCAATATAGACAGTAATGATAACAATAATATAATTTTTCAAATATAAATGATAAGATCCAATGTTATTCGAAAATAAATACGACATGGACATGAACTAGTTTATTCAATTTGAATAATAAATTAGTTATTTATATATAATCAAATGCAATGACACAATGTAACTAACATGATCCGTTACAAAAAAAAATTATAAAAGGTATCATACTAGGGAGAAGAATTATAGGTATATTTATATGCTTCAAAATTTTTTTTCTACTTTCGTTGCTGGAAGGCGAGAGGATTTTCGGTGGTCGTGACGACCTATTGCTCGCAACAAAATTTATTAGCCAGCACTGCAGTAATTACTTACATTTTCTATACAATTATATAAAAAATAATAATAAAAATAAAATACTTTTTCTCTATAATAATACGTATATGTATTTTATAACGATTATTATTTATTTTACAGTGACGAATCGTAATTTTTATTTACGAATGTGTAACACAAATTGTAAAGGATGTATATATAAAAAACAATCTCGATCGTAATTGAAATATACAATAATAATTTTATTTTTATTACACCGAAGACGCTTCTTACATATTAGTTGAGCTCACATTATTCCTTCATTTTAATTTACCTACTAAAATAATAATGCTATCAATTTCTTTATTAAACTCAGGATCTTTTTTAATCATCCGACTATTAATGAAATAAATGATTAGTATGTACTTATACAGTTTTCACCAATATATGTACGGAAATTAAACACCAATTAGTTGTTGGAAATCGTCTATAGAATAATTAATTAGGTAATAAATTACTTTTAGAAATTAAAATATTTTCTTCGACAAAAAATAGGTTGAAATGTTGAATATTAATTTAAAAATGCAGTATTACACTATATACAGTAGATGTAAAAGGTTTGACTATATACATAATATTATTCTGAACATCTTTTATGTAATTATGTTGAAATAATTACATCTTGCATGACACTGTGCAATGTATAAAAAATATTCATGATACATTTATGTTATAATAAATATAACAATATACTTGTATAATAATATTATGTACGATTCAAATGTTTTGTCCAAGATTTATAATATACTGTGTATTTTCAGATTTTCACTTTTAATTACCTCGTTAAAATTATAATAGGTAAGTGCGGTAAACAGAGTTCATTGCTCAACAACTTAAAAGTTTTTTTTTAAGTACAATAATTGTATACAAACCACCTAACATTTAAATCGGTATATATAACACGTATAACCTATATAAATATACATAAAATATAATATAACATATAATATACATAAAACAGAATCCAATATAACAGACCGAAACATATAGGTACCTAGCGTATATTGTAGTAACGTAAAAGATAAATATAAAAAAAAATCATGTCAATAGTTTTATTAAAATTGGATGTTAAAGTTAAGAACCTGTATGATTCTCTACACTTATACGTGATGGAGAACAATACCAGACGTAAATATTAAAATAACGCTAATACCTTCCTCCAAGTGTTCACAGGGCTCTCGAGACTCGAGATCGTGTTTTCGAAGATTTGATTAACTACATCGCACACAGCAATGTACGCGTGCAGCATAATTTTATGTAAAATATGCAAATAATGCAATATCTGTAATTAATATAATATATTATAATATATTAAATGCTTTACCTGATACTGCAGCCGCCTCCGCGATATGCTGTGGCAGTTTTAGGTGACATAAAATAATACTTTACTAATCATTAAGTATCTTATTTGTACGTAAATATCCCCCTGTACCACTCTTATATAGTTATATATATATATATTGTTAGCTTAATATTACGCACACTGTAATCTTATTTTCATAAATAGTTATGTATTTCTGTTCCTTATTACCCTTCGAGGGTGTTACTTAATAATAATAATATTTGTATTGTTATTATTAAATAAAAATAAAAATAAAAAGGTGGGCAAGTGGGTGTCGCTCTGCTGTACAGTAGGTTACAAGTGGGTCACTGTATAATGGATGGTATTAAATTTGAATTCAATGATATAATATCATTGTATAAGAAAAACGATTCTGAGCGGTGATGGTATGTCAGTCTATGTATAAGGCATATTATATACATATCTATGGTATTAAACAAAAAATTGACCTATAATAGGTACCTATAATAAATTCCAAATTAATCATATCACAATATCCATTAGATACTTATAACGCGTTATACATCAACAAAAACCGTGATACTATCATAGATATATAATAGTACACTTTAGAAGTTTCAAGTACCCACGAATAATATTATTCAATCACAACAAAATAACTAAAATAGTTATTCTAGGTTTTTTAATATGTAATTTCGTCCAAATTTGAAATTAAAATGTCTGTAAAAAATAAGTGTGTTTATATATTTTTTAGATTTTTTGGTTACAGTATGAATTATTTAAGAGAATCTTTGTTTTAAATTTTCAACTCTTAGTTATAAAAACTGAACATTTTATAATTTTTTAATTCCAACGATTGATTATTTTCGAGATTTTGATAAAATTTGTCAAAATTCCAACTTTAAATGCTTATAAAAAAAAATCGTGCCTATGTATTTTTAAAATTTTTCAACTGATATTGTAACAATATATAAGAAAGCTTGTATTCAATTTTCAGACTTTTTGGCCCACCAAATAAAATTTTATTGACAATTATAAAAAAAAAAACTAAAAAAATTGAAAACTGAAAATGTCCCTAAACAGCTCAAAAAGAGTCAAAATATTTTCAAAATTGTATTATGTATAGAAAATGCTAATTTAAACATTCAGTGAAATTTTCATGTATCTACAGTTGTTCGTTTTTGAATTACAACAAAATTAGGAAATCGCTACATGAGAAATCGAGTGAATATCCAATGTTGTAAAAATTTTAATTTCAAACGCTCATAAAAATTTAACTTGACTGTCCGGTAGAGATTTTTTTATTGATAAAGGTAGATAATCTTATAAGGAATCTTGTGTTTCATTTTCAAATCTTAGATTTAAAAAGAAAAATTTTTACGAATTCTTAACTCAAAATAATTTGCTAATTTTCGTGATTTTTCCATATTTTGTAAATTTTTGAACTTTAAATGCTTATAAAAAAAAATTGTGACTAAGGATTTTTAATATTTTTCATCTGCCTTTGAAACAACATATTAGGAGCCTTCTATTAAATTTTCAAGCTTTCGCAACCAACAAATAAAATTTTATTGATATTTCTAGAAAAAAAACTAAAAAAAAATGAAAAATGAAAATGTCCCTAAACAGTTCAAAATAAATCAAAATATTTTGAAAATGTTATCGTGTATAGAAAATGCAAATATAAACAACCAGTGAAAATTTCATGTATCTACGGTCATTTGTTTTAAAGTTACACCAAAAACCAAATTCGATTTTTTGGAAAATCGATTTTGCGTAAAAATTCCCGTTTTTCCTTAATTTTTATGTTGTTTTTCCCGGCGCTTGTGAAAACTACTGGAAAATGTTTACTTTTGACCCCCCAAAGTACCAACTAGATTCACTTTCCTATCAGAAAAGGTACTATTGAAGAAAATCGAAGCACTTTTACTGTCCCAAAACGTGATGACAGACACAAAAATATAAAAATATAAAAATATAAATAAAAATATAAATAAAAAAAAACATACATCATTGTAAAACCAATACATTCATCGCTCCGCTCAGAATCTAAAATATAAAAATATAAAAACATACATCATTGTAAAACCAATACATTCATCGCTCCGCTCAGAATCTAAAATCACGATTAAAATAATGAAACTACCTGATTCGAATTTCGAACACATTC